TAACAACTTTTCAAATTAATGCCACATTTACAAGAACTTCAGGTATATGCACCAAAAAACTAGAAGTTTCATATTGAAGAATTAACTTGATAGTCCAAATTAATGCATTGATGAACCTCAATACATAGAACTGTGCTATATACAATACATTTAAATGAATGTTTTTTATTATAGTTTTAAAAAATATATTTAAAACACAAATTTGAATCAAACATTTGTAGAAATCCTAAAGAGCTTCCCAATAAATCTATGTGTCTAGTGTGGGTAGAGTTTGGATTTTGGATGGGGAAAGCTGAGGGAGAGGGATATATAACGAATAAAGGAAAGGGTCAGATTCTAAAGGGTGGTATAAATGGTATTAAAGAGTTTGAACTAGATCAGGGGTCCTCAAACTTTTTAAACAGGGGGCCAGTTCACTGTCCCTCAGACCGTTGGAGGGCCGGACTATAGTTTAAAAAAAACTGAACAAATTCCTATGCACACTGCACATATCTTATTTTGAAGTAAAAAAACAAAACGAGAACAAATACAATATTTGTATTTGCATGTGGCCCGCGGGCCGTAGTTTGAGGACCCCTGGGATTCTGAGAATCATGGGCAAGAGAGTGACACCATCAGGTCTGCATTTTAGAGAGATCACCCTGGCTACAGTGTGGAAAATGGATTTGGGTGGAGGTGAGGGGCGGGGAGGACCAGAAGGGAGACAGACTAATCAGTTAGGTAGGAGGTGCTGTAGAATCCAGGCGAGGGATGATGGTGGCCAGAACTAAAGTCATAACACTGTGGCAGGAAAGAACAGGGTATAAATTTAAAGGATAATAAGAAGGCAGAGTGGACAGGTCTTGGTTATTGATTAGATGGAGGTTGCAGGATTGAGAAACAGAGGAGAAAGAGTGACGCTAAATTCTCTGGTAGGGGCAGTGAAGTGGATGGGGTTTCCATCACCAAGGGGGGAAATCAGGAGGAGGAGGTTGGGGTGGGTGCAGAGGAAAGAGATGCTGAGCTCAGACATGTTGAGTTTGAGATTCAAGTCAATAAGTAGTCACAGAGTCCCTGCAGAAGCGACACTACACAGTCCAGTGCACCAAGGGCAGCAGATCTCTCTATCAAGGAGTTTATAACATATGCAAACAAGTAATCCAATTATAAGGCAGAGGGACAAGGCTTTAAGGGGGGTGCACGACTTTCAGAAAAAAAGGGAAGGTATCTGAGAAAGGTTCATAAACCTTAGAAGATAAATATGATTTCACTTTATGGGTCAGGGAAAGGCGAAGGACAATCCCAGCAGGGCTGAGAACAGGAGCCAGAGATGGAAGAAAAAAGAAAAAAAAAAGAATGTGAATTTGTGGGGACCTAGACGAATTCATTCTGTTTGACTTGTGGTAACAGTGATAGGGAAGCTAGAAAGGCAGAGCAGGGTGGGTCGTCAGGGAAAGCCTCCACTGTCACACTGTACCATGCGGTCTGGTCCGCAGGGGTGGGAGCCAGTGAAAGGCTGTGACAGGGAAGAGCATGCGCTCACGGTTCAGTCCCCTGAGGCATGGTTTGCTTCCTCCACGTCTAAGGCCTAGGCTCTGACCGCAGAGGCTTTGGGAAAGTGATCTCCTCTACTCCCCATCAATCTCCCCAGGTAAATGTCACTGTTTGTGCAAAGGGAAATACCAGTGGTAACTGAAAAACCACCGCAGGGGGGCCGCGTGGCGAAGTCATTCTGTCTGAGTCACAGATGCTGCTCTTTAACTTCTTCTGGAATCTTTGGCTTGTGGTGTAAGGGTGGATTGATGGGCAGAAATTACAGAAGGAGCTATTACTCCATCTTGATTTGGGAGCTGCACAAAGATTTAAGAAACTCTTACTTTACTTTGGGTTTTGCCCTTCATTCATATACTTAAAGAGATTTTGATGTGATGAGGTGAAGTTCACATCCTATGTCAGTGGTCTCAAGAGTGCCGGTGAAGTGGTTTTGTCATCAGAATATAAAAATTGAACTTCCTCCCCAATATAAAGCAGACTGTGGTGTGATAAATACTGTGAAAGTAGAGCACAGAAAAGGAAAAAAAAAAAGTGAGAAATTCAGGGCAGGCACTATTAATGCCATCTCACTTCTAACCACTGCCGATGGAAAAACCGTGGGAAATGAGTCTGAAAAGGCCAAGAGTTTCCAAATCAAGAAAGCTTCCCCAGGCTCATCATTTTGTTTATATTCTGTCCGGCTGTATGAGACTATGACACACCTATACACACATCTATGGTTAGTTTTACACACAATACACACAATATTCTGTCCGGCTGTATGAGACTATGACACACCTAGTACACACATCTATGGTTAGTTGTACACACAATACACGTACACACACTATACGTTTGGAAGGTAACAAGAAAACCACATGTAGAGTTCTGTTTAGAAACTGTCCAATTAAATGTGCTTTACAATGCCAGATGCTATCCCATTTGAGATTTCTCCTAAAATATCTGGAAGCTTGCATGGTTTACTGATAACCCTAAGTTAGTGTCCTAATCAAATGAATATACAATGGAAGAGGAAGCTGAGAAGAAAATTGGTAAGAGTTATCATCAGAGACACCCATTTAGAAGTGACCACTGTCAGGAAGTTGGCATAGAGAAGCAGAGGACCGAAGGTCTCTTTCAAGCTAAGCCAAGTGGCATGGAGCAGTAGGCAGGATTTTCCTCTAAGTTAAAGGAGGAGTAAATATCAGTACCCCAAATGTAATTAGGAACTTTCAGAAGATCAATAAACTTATTTTCTCCAACAAGTTACAAATCCTGAGCCAAAGTTTTTAGCCTGATATGGAGGAATCAAAACCTTTAATTTCTCTGGAATTCCAAGGTACTAGAAATAATGATCAATGTTTATGTCCAAAGACTTTTGACTCAAATACGAGATTTAGGTAAGCTAAACAGATAAGTTTCATAGAAAGCCAAAGTTAGATTAAGCAATGATAATTAACTATTTTTCCATTGATTTTTAGAGGGAGTGGAGAGGGAGAGATAGAGAGAAATATCGATGTGAGAGAGACATATCAATTGGTTGCCTCCTACATGAGGATCAAACCTGCAACCAAGGTACGTGCCCTTGACCAGAATCAAAGGACCCTTCAGTTTCCAGGCCGATGCTCTATCCACTGAGCCAAACTGACTACTACTATAATTAACTATTAATGTTTAATGCTAATGGTGGCACATTGCAATGAGGTATTTGTTTTTCTTTATGTCTTGCTTTAAGTTGCTTTCTTTATGCAAGATTGACAATTAGTGACTAATGGTGGCAGCTATCTGAGTTGCAGGCATATTTGGGGGAAGTAAATGACATCTGAAGGTTTCTTTTTTAAACTGAAACTCATAAACTGACCACAAATGTCAGCTTGATATTTGGTACTTTTTGCTTGAATTACATAATTTGATCCTGCCATTCAGTGTGAAACATGATGTTTCATTTATCCATAAACATGAGAAATCAAACATCAAAGTTCTTTCCTTTTAAAATAAAATATTTTTCTTTATTTCAGAGAGGAAGGGAGAGAGAGAGATAGATAGAAACATCAATGATGACAGAGAATCATCGACCAGCTGCTTCCTACAGGACTCCCACTGGAGATTGAGTCCACAACCCAGGCATGTGCCCTGACCAGGAATCAAACTGTGACCTCCTGGTTCATAGGTCGATGCTCAACCACTGAGCCACGCTGGCCAGGCATCAACATTCTTTCTTAACCAATTTGTTTGTTTCTTTTGCAATCTCATATTATCAAGGGTTTTTGGAGTCTTTTTTACTTGTTAATTATACAAGTAATATGTTCTTTAAAAAAAAAATCCCAATAATCAGGGAAAACAGAAGTTATCTGTGCTCGCTTCAGCAGCCTATATACTAAAAGTTATCTGATTTAACTAACTCCTACCTTCAACTTTAGGCCCCTTCCATTATTAGCAGTCTTTCATTAATGATCTTTTTCTAATATGTTTGTAAACTATACATTTGCACATATATGAACATATAGTTTTACACATTTACATAAATGTTATTATACTGTATTTATATTTAATAATTTGGTTCTTTTTCATTTTTCTCTTTTATTTCTCAAATGTTTTGAAAATTTTTCATTACCAGTGTGTAAAAATTAACTTCATATTTTTCTTGTATATATTTTTAAAACTCTTCCGAAGAATTGCAGATTCACAAGAAATTACAACAAAAAAAATGTTTAGGGAGATCCAGTGCAACCTTCACCCACCCTCCCCTACCAGTCTGGTCACATCTTATTCAATGCTAATACAATACCAAAATGAGGACATTGACATCAGTACAATCCGCCATGCTTATTCACATTTCACCAGTTTACACATGCTCATTTGGGTGTGTTTATAGATAGTGTCATGCAATTTTATCACACGTATAGCTCCATGATAAAGTAAGCTGACTTCATTCTTAAGACTTTGTATTCTTGCTTAAATATATTCCTGGCAATATATCTTTTTTAAAAAAATATTTTATTGATTTTTTACAGAGAGGAAGGGAGGGGGATAGAGAGTTAGAAACATCAATGAGAGAGAAACATCGATCAGCTGCCTCCTGCACACCCCCACTGGGGATGTGCCTGCAACCAAGGTACATGCCCTTGACCAGAATCGAACCTAGGACCCTTGAGTCTGCAGGCCAATGCTCTAGCCACTGAGCCAAACCGGTTAGGGCGGCAATATATCTTTTGTGTAAATTCCTGAAGAAAGTGTTTTCAAAGTTTTTTTTAATGATCTTTGAAATGCATTTTATTAAAAACTATTAGTTTCAGTGATTATTGAGATTTAGAATCTAAATCACATATTATTTTTTTTCAGATACTCTCTTATTCTTCTCTTGTTTATTACACATGCATAGATGCATACACAGAGAGCTGAATGTTTAGATGGTTAGATAGCCTAAACCCCCTTGGGAGCAAGAACCACAGTTTTAGAGGTTTTTGTAAATCTCACCATGGCAATGTGTCTAATGCGTGCTTAGTGTGTGCCCAATAAATGCCTGCTGGTTGGTTAGGCCGGTTGATTGATTGGTGCCAGAGTTATTTCACCCTATCAGAGGTGCCTCTCAGTGATGATATTGTCTGAGAGCAGCAGCGCCAGCTGAATGAGCCAAGGTAAATTCCTCCATTAAAGTCTGCTCCTGAAAACTGGGAACAAACAAAACATTTGCTTAGAATGCTCTCAGTATAATAAAACTTAGTAAAATATTCTTGGAAACATTATAAAAGCACCATGACATTGCAGTGGTAAGTTTTATAGAAACTGCAAGGAGGATAGGTAGCTAGATGTTTGCACTCTTAGTTCTAATTCCTACCAAGACAGTAGCAATTTCCTACATGACTTCTGGTAAAAGCGTTGTGCATATTAATGAAGCACAGGATCAGAAAATGCCTGATGCTTCTTAGTTTTCCTGGGATTCTCGTGGGATGCATAGAGTAAGATTCAACCAAGACCATATTTGTTTTACTTTGGTTATTTGACAGGACATTATTATTGTACTAGAGGCCCGATGCACAAAATTGGTGCAAGAGTAGGCCTTCCTTCCCCCGGCTGCCAGCACCGGCTTCCCTCTGGCACCTGGGACCGAGGCTTCCCTCACAGCCTTGGCTTCGTCTGGAAGGTCATCCGGAAGGACACCCGGTCTAATATTACACTTTTATTATTATAGATTACATATTTTAATTTCAGTTAGGTGAAGCCAACCAAAAAGAGAAACCAGAATATTAGTCAACTGATTGTAATTTTAAAGGATGTTAGAATGATTATTTTTTACCAAGGGAAAAAACTACAAATAAAGAACAATGTGACATAGACAATTGAAGGCGTTCTTTACTAATCCTATCTTTGTTTTAACGTGGAGCTCAAATCTTCCAGGATGTTAGAATGATTATTTTTTACCAAGGGAAAAAAAACTACAAATAAAGAACAATGTGACATAGACAACTGAAGGCATTCTTTACTAATCCTATCTTTGTTTTAACATGGAGCCCAAATCTTCTTACCTTCTTGAAAGCGTCTCTGATCAAAATCCAAGTCTTTGTGGAATAGTCAAGAATGTGGAATTTGCCATAAAAAAATATCTGTATGGCCATGGCCAGGGGCTCAGCTGGTTGGAACGTGGTCATGTACAGCAAAAGGTTATGGGTTTGATTCCCAGTCAGGGCACATACCTAGGTTTCGGGTTCAATCCCTGGTTAGGGCAGGTATGGGAGGTATTTGATCAATGATTCTCTCTCACATCAATGTTTCTCACTCTCTCTCCTTTCCCCTCTCTCTAAAAACCAATAATGGAGCATCAGCCTGCGGACTGAAGGGTCCCAGGTTCGATTCCAGTCAAGGGCATGTACCTTGGTTGCAGGAACATCCCCAGTGGGGGGTGTGCAGGAGGCAGCTAAATCGATGTTTCTCTCTCATCGATGTTTATAACTCTCTATCTCTCTCCCTTCCTCTTGTAAAAACTCAATAAAATATATTAAAAAAATAAAAAAATAAAAATCAATAAAAACATATCTCTGGTGAGGATTAAAAAAATAAAATTAAAGTATTAAGTCATGTCCTATCTCTAGTTTTATGGCTATGAACAAGTTATGGGACCTCTCTGAACTTCAGTTTCCTTATCTATAATAATTAATAATGAGTCCCTTGCTTACTTTGAGAATGAAAAGTAATCAGCACAAAATCTGATAGGTGGTACTAACCATTCAATACAGGTTAATCATTTATTAGCAGTAGTATTTTATGCAGCTATTTATTATAAACTGAAAACTCACTATACCAAGGATTGCAAACAGCGACCTGGAGGTCAAATTGTGTTTATCTATACATAGTGCTTTTGAATGTGTGAATTTCATTCATACATTTGGCCTGGCACTTCTTTATTTTGCTAGCACTCCATCGTAGCTTCTTGTTGCTTCACAACTTTGCATCAACTGCCAGGTCCTTGAAGGCATTTGAGTTTGTGGCTACTCATGTAAACTTGTGATTTTGTATCCTAAAAGTTGAAAAGAAGAGAAAGAAAGATTAGCCAAACTACAATGGCTATCATAAAGACAGGGAGCAAGGGAAAGAGTGGTCAGGAGATGGTAAAAATTTGCTTCTCTGACCAATGCCCCAGGACTTGAGAATTTCTGTCTATTCTGTTGTCCATTAAGCACTTGTGTCATTAAGCATACACTGACTGTATTATTATCTATTTATTAATGTTTATTTCATCTTCTGAAGAAACCTACAGTTTTCTTGAGAACAAGAATTATATTACATACATGAAAAAAAAACTTCTCTGAACACCTAGCTCAGTTCCTCCCATAGTAATATTTCAGTAATTACATTGTCAAAATAGCACCACATTACATTCACTAAATTGCCAGTACACTATATACTAAATTTTCTGTATTTATCCCATTTTATCTTTACAATAAACAAATCAGGCAGGTACTATTATTAGACCTACTTGTTAGATGAGGAAACTGAAACTTACAAAGGTCATGAAACTTGCCCCAAAACACAAGCTGGTAAAAGACAAAGCCAAGACTGAAACACATAGTCTGTCTGATCCCAAAGACCAGAGTTTTCATCACTTTTGGATACTGCCTCCCAAAGAAATAAACCAACAAACATTTCTTGATTAATTAGATGCTGAGCAGCTGGACGTGAATAAACTCTCTAAGCTCATAATATCTAGGTCACTTGGCAATAACTAGATATTTATTGTTGTAGATGTTGGAATTTGAGTTTTATTCAGTCAGCATAATGTTTTACTAGGCCTGTGCCCCAAAGGCTAGATGAATGCGATAATGTCAAAGAAAGATAATTATAAAACAGTGTGATAAGCTTTAATGAGCATTTGAAAAAGTGGGGACATAGAAGACTAACTTATTTTAAAATAGTACACCATATTCAGTCAGCACTTCTAGAATTCCTGTTATGTGCCCAGCACTGTGCTAAGCAATTTGCAAATATTTATTTGTTCAACTTTTACAACTACCATGAAATAGGTTTTGTTATCCATATTTACAAATAAGTAAATTAGGCTGAAATGGTAAGTGGCTTGGCCAAGGTCACACACTAGCAAGTGGTGAAGAAGAGTTTCAATCTCAAGTCTGCAAGACACCGAAGTCCATGGGTAGTCCAGCTTACCATGCTGTTATGAACTGTGTTTTCTTCTGGTCCTTTGCAGTATCAGAAAACACCAAGGAAAACAAGTGTATAAATGAGGTTCAGATCTGTCTCTTTAAGTACCTCAGACATCGGAGTGAACCAGCAGGGTCACGTGTTTGAGTCACCACCTGACTTGGGGAATATATTATTTCGATATTTGCTTCTCACTTTTTTTTTCTCCTCATCTAGGGTCTGTAATCTAAGTACCTCAGACATCGGAGTGAACCAGCAGGGTCACATGGTTGAGTCACCACCTGACTTGGAGAATAGATTATTTCGATATTTGCTTCTCACTTTTTTTTTTCCTCATCTAGGGTCTGTAATTTCTATTGTTCTTTAAGCTGACACCAGTTTTTATGTGCGCTCATCTTGTTTAATGGTCTCTTGTCTAACCACCTGACCTCTTAATATTTAATATAAGTATGGTCCTTTTAGTTTTGCTATTTTTTTCTATACTCTATCACATCAAACCAGGGAGTCTTGACCGATGGTTATTGGGCTAGTGTGATGATTACATGGTAAGATATATAAATGTGAAATCACTGTTTTACACCTGAAACTAATATAATATTGTATGCCAACTATCTACACTAATAAAAGAGAAATATGGTAATTGGCGTACGAGCTACCCTTTTTTCATTGGCTAATCAGTGAGTATATGCAAATTAACTGTCAGCCAAGATGGCGGCCGGCAGCCAGGCACTGAAGCGAGCAGGGAGGCTTGCTTGCTGCAGACTCCAAC